CCCAGGAACATGACCAAAGACTGGGTTTCCTCCTTTCTGATGCTTTGCCTGAAGTCTGGAACCCATGGACATGACCAAAGACTGGGTTTGCTCCTTTCTGATGCTTTGCCGGAAGTCTGGAACCCATGGACATGACCAAAGACTGGGTTTCCTCCTTCCTGATGCTTTGCCTGCAGTCTAGAACCCATGGACATGACCAAAGACTGGGTTTCCTCCTTCCTGATGCTTTGCCTGAAGTCTTGAACCCATGGACATGACCAAAGACTGGGTTTCCTCCTTCCTGATGCTTTGCCTGAAGTCTGGAACCCATGGACATGACCAAAGACTGGGTTTCCTCCTTCCTGATGCTTTGCTGCAGTCTAGACTAGAACCCATGGACATGACCAAAGACTGGGTTTCCTCCTTTCTGATGCTTTGCCTGAAGTCTGGAACCCATGGACATGACCAAAGACTGGGTTTCCTCCTTCCTGATGCTTTGCCTGCAGTCTAGACTAGAACCCCATGGACATGACCAAAGACTGGGTTTCCTCCTTTTTGATGCTTTGCCTGCAGACTAGAACCCATGGACATGACCAAAGACTGGGTTTCCTCCTTTCTGATGCTTTGCCTGAAGTCTGGAAGCCATGGACATGACCAAAAGACTGGGTTTCCTCCTTTCTGATGCTTTGCCTGAAGCCTGGAACCCATGGACATGACCAAGGACTGGGTTTTCTCCTTCCTGATGCTTTGCCTGCAGTCTAGAACCCAGGAAACATGACCAAAGACTGGGTTTCCTCCTTTCTGATGCTTTGCCTGAAGTCTGGAACCCATGGACATGACCAAAGACTGGGTTTGCTCCTTTCTGATGCTTTGCCGGAAGTCTGGAACCCATGGACATGACCAAAGACTGGGTTTCCTCCTTCCTGATGCTTTGCCTGCAGTCTAGAACCCATGGACATGACCAAAGACTGGGTTTCCTCCTTTCTGATGCTTTCCCGGAAGTCTGGAAACCCATGGACATGACCAAAGACTGGGTTTGCTCCTTTCTGATGCTTTGCCGGAAGTCTGGAACCCATGGACATGACCAAAGACTGGGTTTCCTTCTTTCTGATGCTTTCCCGGAAGTCTGGAACCCATGGACATGACCAAAGACTGGGTTTCCTTCTTTCTGATACTTTGCCGGAAGTCTGGAACCCATGGACATTACCAAAGACTGGGTTTCCTTCTTTCTGATGCTTTGCCGGAAGTCTGGAACCCATGGACATTACCAAAGGCTGGGTTTCCTCCTTTCTGATGCTTTGCCTAAATTCTGGAACCCATGGACATGACCAAAGGCTGGGTTTCCTCCTTTCTGATGCTTTGCCTGCAGTCTAGAACCCATGGACATTACCAAAGACTGGGTTTCCTTCTTTCTGATGCTTTGCCGGAAGTCTGGAACCCATGGACATTACCAAAGGCTGGGTTTCCTTCTTTCTGATGCTTTGCCGGAAGTCTGGAACCCATGGACATTACCAAAGACTGGGTTTTTCCTCCTTTCTGATGCTTTGCCAGGTTCTAACTGCAGCTGTCTTCAGTTGTTCTTTGTTTGTGGGTCTTTCTGCCTTTAGTTTTGTCTTCAGCAAGTGAAATGCATGCTCAGTTGGGTTGAGATCAGGTGATTGACACGGCCATTGCAAAATATTCCACTTCTTTTTCCTTCAAAAGCTCCTGGGTTGCTTTTGCAGTGTGTTTTGGATCATTGTCCATCTGTACTGTAAAGCTCCTTCCAATCACCTTTGCTGCATTTGGCTGAATCTGGGCTGACAGTAGATCTGTAAACACGGCAGAATTCATCCGGCTGCTTCTGTCTTCTGTCACATCATCAATAACCACCAATGACCTAGTGCCACTGGAAGCCATGCATGCCCATGCATCACACTGCCTCCACCCATGCCATCACACTGCCTCCGCCCATGTCATCACACTGCCTCCGCCCATGCATCACACTGCCTCCACCCATGCCATCACACTGCCTCCACCCATGCCATCACCCTGCCTCCGCCCATGCCATCACACTGACTCCCCACATGTCATCACACTGCCTCCACCCATGCCATCACCCTGCCTCCGCCCATGCCATCACCGCTCTCCCCTGCCTCCGCCCATGTCATCACACTGCCTCCGCCCATGCCATCACACTGCCTCCACCCATGCCATCACCCTGCCTCCGCCCATGCCATCACACTGACTCCCCACATGTCATCACACTGCCTCCACCCATGCCATCACACTGCCTCCGCCCATGTCATCACACTGCCTCCGCCCATGCCATCACACTGCCTCCACCCATGCCATCACCCTGCCTCCGCCCATGCCATCACACTGACTCCCCACATGTCATCACACTGCCTCCACCCATGCCATCACCCTGCCTCCGCCCATGCCATCACCCTGCCTCCGCCCATGCCATCACACTGCCTCCACCCATGCCATCACACTGCCTCCACCCATGCCATCACCCTGCCTCCGCCCATGCCATCACACTGACTCCCCACATGTCCATCACACTGCCTCCACCCATGCCATCACACTGCCTCCGCCCATGTCATCACACTGCCTCTGCCCATGTCATCACACTGACTCCCCACATGTCATCACACTGCCTCCGCCCATGCATCACACTGCCTCCACCCATGCATCACACTGCCTCCGCCCATGTCATCACACTGCCTCCGCCCCATGCCATCACACTGCCTCCACCCATGCCATCACACTGCCTCCGCCCATGTCATCACACTGCCTCGCCCTTGCATCACACTGCCTCCACCCATGCCATCACACTGCCTCCGCCCATGCCATCACCCTGCCTCCGCCCATGCCATCACACTGACTCCCCACATGTCATCACACTGCCTCCACCCATGCCATCACACTGCCTCCGCCCATGTCATCACACTGCCTCTCCGCCCATGCCATCACACTGCCTCCGCCCATGCCATCACACTGCCTCCGCCCATGCCATCACACTGCCTCCGCCCATGTCATCACACTGCCTCCGCCCATGTCATCACACTGCCTCCGCCCATGTCATCACACTGCCTCCCCACATGTCATCACACTGCTTCCGCCCATGCATCACACTGCCTCCGCCCATGCATCACACTGGCTCCGCCCATGTCATCACACTGCCTCCGCCCATGTCATCACACTGCCTCCGCCCATGCCATCACACTGCCTCCGCCCATATCATCACACTGCCTCCGCCCATGCCATCACACTGCCTCCGCCCATGTCATCACACTGCCTCTGCCCATGTCATCACACTGACTCCCCACATGTCATCACACTGCCTCCGCCCATGCATCACACTGCCTCCACCCATGCATCACACTGGCTCCACCCACTCCATCACCCTGCCTCCACCCACGCCATCACCCTGCCTCCACCCATGCCATCACCCTGCCTCCACCCATGCCATCACCCTGCCTCCACCCATGCCATCACACTGCCTCCACCTTGTTTTTCAGATGACCTTGTGTGCTTTGGATCATGAGCTGTTCCAAGCCTTCTCCACACTTTTTTCTTCCTGTCATTCTGGTACAGATTCATCCTAATTTCATCCGTCCAAAGGATGCTTTTTCCAGAACTGGTCCAGGTTGTTTAGATGTTTTTTGCCAAAGTCTAATCTGGCTTTTCTATTCTTCAGGCTTATGAATGATTTGAACCTTGTGGTGAACCCTCTTTATTTGCTCTCGTGAAGTCTTCTCTTGATTGTAGACTTTGATAATAATACTCCCACCTCCTGGAGAATGTCCTTCACTTGTCTGGATGTTGTGAATGGGTTTTCCTTTACCATAGAGAGGATCCTGCAATCATTCACCACTGTTGTCTTCTGTGGACGTCCATGCCTTGTCATGTTGCTGAGCTCACCAGTGCGTTCTTCTTTCCTCAGAATGTACTAAACTTGATTTGGCCACTCCTAATGTTGCTGTGATCTCTCTGATGGATTGGTTTCGTTTTTTGAAGCCTTACAATGGCCTGTTTCACTTGCATGGACAGCTCCTTTGAATGCATGATGTAGGTTCACAGCAATAGATTCCAAATACAAATCCCGCACTTAGAATCAACTCCAGACCTTTCACCTGCTTAATTGATGAAGAAGTAACGAAGGAGTAGCCCACACCTGGCCATGAAACAGCTTTTGATTCAATTGTCCAATTACTTTTGGTCCCTTGAAAAAGGGAGGGTGGCTACTCTTAAGAGCTGTAATTCCTAAACCCTTTCTCCAATTTGGATGTACATACCCTCAAATTACACCCGAGAGTGCGTACTGTCCGCCCATATCCATTATAGAACAATAGCTTCAATGTTTTGGTAAATACCTAAAAAAAACTAAAATTGTGTCTGTGTCAAAATATATATGGACCTAACTGTGTGTGTATATATATATATCATTTTTTTTTTTCCTAAGTAATTTTTGAGCAAAAAAATCCTGATTTTTACATGTAGGAAAGGAGTATCAGAATAGACCTGGCCTGGTCAAGCGGTTAAAGACATTAAAGTGCAGCTCCAGCCAAACCTTTATTCTTCATCCTCTTCATCTTCTTCATCCTCTTCTTCATCTTCTTCATCCTCTTCTTCTTCTTCATCCTCTTCTTCTTCATCATTTTTTTCTTCTTCTTCTTCCTCTTCTTTTTGTTTTCCTCTTGCAGGTCACGGCTCATGCGCAGATTTTTTTACCGGTAAAAAGATCAGCCGATTTGCCCATCATTGCTGCGAAAATCGGCCGACTGGCAAAACTTTACCGATAAAAAAATCTGCCAAAATACCGAAAAACGGCCGACCTATTAACCCACTAACGATCCAAAATTCGGTCGATTTTATTTTCAGCCGAAAAAATCGGCCGATTTTCGACCCATCTATGGCCTGCATAACCCATCATTTCCTGTAGTGGAGGAGAGGTCATGAGATATCTAGCTCTATGAACTGTCTGCGGTGTCAAAGTGCTCTCCTAACTGGTGATGGTGGTGACACCATGTTTGGTTTTGCAGGATTGGCTCCAGCATTTGGCATTGATCTTCGTGCTGTTTTTAACGCTGCATTTTAGAAACAGATCAAGGCCGAGTGCATACTCACCGGCCGAGGTCCTGGGGCGTCTGGATGAATTCAGGGACCGCAGTTTTACAGTTGGCTACATCCCTACAACCCCGGCCATCAGGGACATAATGCAGAGGGTCAACAGAAGCACCATCATCCCAGGTAAGATCAGCTGGAAGCCAAGCATGGTGCTCCTCTCCACTGAATGAGGAGTGTATGGGGGTCACCAGAGGGCCTGACTGCTTTGTTAAATGTTTTAGCTCCCATTTAAGTGTTATGTGTATGAAGTTGGGGTACCCCGAGAATTAACCCCCCCCCCCCACTAATAAATGAATGGAAATAACAAAAGTCCTGATTTCTCCTTCCAGGAATATCGGTTCAGGAATTTCAAAATGCTTCTGACCTTCTGGATGCAGTTGATTGGAAAATGCCCGCTGGTGTGGAATTTGTGAATGAGTTTACATATTATATCAGATATTATCTGCACACCATCTACAGCCCCAATGACTACCTGGCTTATAGAAGTAAGAGGGCATGTGATGGTCAGTGGGACGAATAGTCCTTACATTTGGTGGTCAGTGGGAAGAATGTCCCTTACATTGGGGGGTCAGTGGGAAGAATGTCCCTTACATTGGTGATCAGTGGGAAGAATGTCCCTTACATTGGAGGTCAGTGGGAAGAATGTCCCTTACATTGGGGGTCAGTGGGAAGAATGTCCTTACATTGGTGATCAGTGGGAAGAATGTCCCCTTACATTGGTGGTCAGTGGGAAGAGTGTCCCTTACATTGGAGGTCAGTTGGAAGAATGTCCCTTACATTGGTGGTCAGTGGAAGAATATCCCTTACATTGGAGGTCAGTGGGAAAGAATGTCCCTTACATTGGTGGTCAATGGGAAGAATGTCCCTTACATTGGTGATCAGTTGGAAGAATGTCCCTTACATTGGAGGTCAGTGGGAAGAATGTCCCTTACATTGGTGGGTCAGTGGGAAGAATATCCCTTACATTGGGGGTCAGTGGGAAGAATGTCCCTTACATTAGGGGTTAGTGGGAAGAATGTCCCTTACATTGGTGATCAGTGAAGGAAGAATGTCCCTTACATTGGGGGTCAGTGGGAAAGATATATCCCTTACATTGGAGGTCAGTGGGAAGAATGTCCCTTACATTAGGGTTAGTGGGAAGAATGTCCCTTACATTGGTGATCAGTGGGAAGAATGTCCCTTACATTGGAGGTCAGTGGGAAGAATGTCCCTTACATTGGGGGTCAGTGGGAAGAATGTCCCTTACATTGGAGGTCAGTGGGAAGAATGTCCCTTACATTGGGGTCAGTGGGAAGAATGTCCCCCTTACATTAGGGGTTAGTGTGGAAGAATGTCCCTTACATTGGAGGTCAGTGGGAAGAATGTCCCTTACATTGGGGGTCAGTGGGAAGAAGTCCCTTACAAATGGAGGTCAGTGGAAGAATGTCCCTTACATTAGGGGTTAGTGGGAAGAATGTCCCTTACATTGGGGTCAGTGGAAGAATGTCCCCTTACATTGGAGGTCAGTGGGAAGAAGTCCCTAACAAATTGGGGGTCAGTTGGGAAGATTGTCCCTTACCATTAGGGGTCAGCGGGAAGAATGTTCCTTACATTTGGGGGTCATGGAAGGAATGTCCCTTACATTGAGGGGTCAGTGGGAAAATGTCCTTACATTGGAGGTCAGTGGGAAGAATGCCCTTACTTGGGGGGGCAGTGGGGGTGTCCCTTACTTGGAGGTCAGTGGGAAGAATGTCCCTTAAAATTGGGGGCAGTGGGAAG